ATAAAATCAGAGTAATCTTTTGATTAAAAGAGGAATTTGTTCCCAAAATAAAATATGATAAAATTTATCAAAACATTTCTCAAAGAGAATGTATTTTCATTAAATAATAAAACCTTGGGATGTCATGTTCGATACAGACCAAAAGCATAAACAATATAAAATAAACCTTACAACAGTTATTTATAACTACTGATCTATAATCCAAAATCTCTCGTCAAGTCCACCAACTTATACTCTTGTGCCATCACCTGTAATGTAAAGAAAACTGAGTGGGTCAGGCTTGGGAGCCTGGTGAGCATATAGGGTTTTCAACCCACAATAATACATTTATTATATTCAATTATCAAACAATCAACCCAAATACCCATCCCCATATCTCCTTTATTTTCTCGAGGGTTGACCCTAAAAATCCATTATCCTTCATTCATTCGTCCCTAAGGATTTACCTAAGGAATTAGCACAAGGTCTATTTGCTACCACGGTTTATACAACAGGCACTACGTCACATAGTCACCAGGGTTCATACAATAGGCACTACGTCTCATAGTCACCAAGGTTTACGCAACAGGCACGAAGTCACATCGTCACCAGGGTTTATCAAACAGGCACGAAGTCGCATCGTCACCAAAGCTTTACTTAATAGGCACGAAGTCACATCGTCACCAACTATTCCATCTACCCTTGTTCTACCCAACATTTTTGTAGATATAAATACAAGCACAATTTAAATCATTTAACACCCGTATAAAAACATCAATTCCAAGCCCATCTCAAATAGACAAATAATATATAACACATAGCACGTATTTCATAGCTAATACTTTATATTTATGTGTTAGAAGAAAGTAACTACACACTCACTTGATCAGAAGATGATCGGACAACAAATCTGGAAAATCTCTACAAAAATCGAACTTCTCGCGGACAGAGCTTCGGCTCGGAAATCGCACTTCTCGGGATATTCGGGACTTCGAAACTTGCTTCGGGGCTCGGGAATATTACCGGGGCTTCTGGGTACTTCTGGCACGCAAATCGATGCAAAACGGGAGAGAGAAGAGAGAAAAATAGCAAAAGAACTCGACAGCCTCGCATCCTATTTATAGGAGGCTGAAGCCTCGGAGTACGCGGGGCATACTGCCTCCGAAACGTTACTGCATGCGTCATCCGAAGAACTCGAGTGTGAATGTCGACATACCTCGGAGTACGCGGGGAGTACACGAGTATGCGGGGCGTACTTCGGATGAGTCCGGTGACTCCTCTTCGGATAATGTTGGATTTAATAATTAAATTTAATTATTAATTATTTAATAAATTTCGAAAGTTCATTACTTCTTCATACGAACTCCGTTTTCGACATTCTTTATATCCACGCGAAGGTGAGACTATGCTCTACTACTTTTGTTTAAACTCCGCCGGCTAATTTTGATTTATTTTTATTATTTATTTTTAGTAGGCCGAGACAGGAAAACTCCGTTATAAAATCATAACTTCTTCATCCGACGTCCGTTTTCGCCTATCTTTTTATTGTTTTACTACAATTAATGAGATCTTCGATTCTCATTTAGATTGTTTCGGCTAAAAACCGTTCGGTCTCAAGTCGAGTATTCGGGCTGCATATCGCTAAGTCGAAACTTCGATAGGTCATAACTTCTTCGTTATAACTCGGATTTCGGCGTTCTTTATATGTATGGAATCCTTGTAGCATATACTACAACTTAGTTAAGATTATTCAGTCTAAATAATATTTTATCAAAAAGTCATTTTTGACGCTTACCGTCTCTAAATTGACTAGCCCTGATCTACGGGCGTTACAGAGGGTATCAAGGACATGAGGTCTCTAGCGAGAGGTGGAAGGTCCGCAGTGAGGCCGTGTGAAGAGGGGTGAGTTATGAGGGTCTGCGTGAAGGGTTAGAGGGTTAGGCGTAGGGTGAAAGGGAGCACCGAAGTATGCATTGATAAGGAGTGAAGTAGCGAGGAGTAGGCGAATGTTGCTAAGGGAGAGTGTCATGCTTTAGTCTTCGTTACACGAAAGTAGTGACTAGTCTTCGGGGTGAGGTCTTCGATCTATGAGGGATAATAGTGACTACGCATAAGAGGACCTTCAACAGACTTCAGTGTTGCTTATCTTCTAATGTATTCGGTCAGACTTTAGGTCTTTTGTGCTGAGCAGCGAGGATGAGAGGGCAGATGACGAAAAATGCTATTTTTTCATGAAATTTCTTCTTCTTTTTCTTCAACAGCAATATAAAATCTTTGTAAAAAAAAATTTTCAGCAGAAAATTGTAACAAACATCAACAAAACTTATTCTTGAAAGCTTGAAAAAGCTTTGAATCAACACTTCAAAAACTGAAAACTCATCATAAAGATTTCTGGTTGTGAACCCATAAATTCTTGGTAGAAAAATCGAAAATTACAAGATCGGGAGTCATTCCCTTGAAATAATCGCTTAAATCTTCAAGGTACGAATCTGATACCAATTGTAGGAATCCATTTTGACGATCGACTTGTGCGGAATAATATGATATTTAGATTTAACGATAACAAAATATATAAAGAACAAAACAAATGAGTAATCCGATGATTATAATAGAAAGATAGGTTACAACTATAACTATGAAGAACACTTCGGTGAGAGAGATAGCAATCGAGAGTTTCTCTCCGACTAAAACAATATACTACATTTTGTGTACAACTAAAACAATGACCACCCCTCTCTATTTATATAGAGAGAGATAACTTACAATACAATAAAGAGAATAAGATAACCTATCTATCACTCATAATTTGTAGAGCATTTCCATGCTCCAATACCCAATGTACTAGAGTGATTCACGTCTTCTGTAGTGAGTACGACTAGCGTACTGCATGGTGTACGCCCAACGTACTAGATAAAGTCCCGCTTTTCATTTAAATTTCAAGCGACCATAATTTCTTTGTTTCAACTCCGACTTTGGCGTTCTTTATACCCACAGAAAAGTCTTGAAAGGTTCTAGAGCCCTATCTAGTTGCTTTTGACTTAAAACACCTCGAACAAAAATATTTAATTCATAAAAGAAGTATGAAACATCAGTTTTCTTGTTTTACCCTTTGACTCCAAAGCACAAACCAAAGGCTGAGATCGGATAACCAATATTATCAACATCCAATAGTGCCTAAACCTTATTCCCTTGAAGCTAAAAACCTTTACTTGATCCATTTATTATCCATAATACCAAAATAAGAAACTTCTCGAAACAAAATGTTACATTTAAGCTGTAATTTGAATAAATAAATTTATTTTTAAATGAAAATTTTGGTTTGAAATTCAGGACGTTACAATATTAATATTGTTGATGCAATATCATGTTAGTGACATGAAAAGTAGAGAAAGTTTTCTCTAAGATTTTTTCATCATTTATTGTCTCACTATATAATTTTAGTTGGATAGTAATTTTGAACATGACTGAATTATACCCACTCACAGATTTAAAATATAGTATTCGAAGGTGTAACCAATCAAAACGAGCTTTAGGAAGTATCGTTGTTTTTTTTAATGATCATACCTCTCTTTGAGATTATTCCAAAGATCAGCTGAATCTTTGATAGTGGGGTATTCAACTTTCAATCCTTCATTAAGATGGAGACAAATGAAAATCATCGCTTTAACCTTTTCTTGGCTTGATGCTTAATTTAAATGATTTACATCTTTTATAGTGTTTCCAAGACCCATAAAATCACGGTGAATTTCAACATCAAGGATCCATGATATATAACTCTTTCCACTGATGTCAAGAGCCATAAACTTAAGTTTACTAAGGTTTGCTATAGTGAAAGTACTAATCAAAATAAAAAGTTCCATGTTTAAAGATTATTAGTTAAGAAGCTTCATAAAATTACTTGGCGTGCATCATACTTGTAAACTTATAAAATATATATACTTGACAATGACAATAGCGACAAAAAAGTTGAAGCACTATGATAGAGTCGTGTTGATAACATATTACTATATATATTAAATGCAAAGTTCTTAATAATAACATATTACTATATATATTAAATGCAAAGTTCTTAATAACAGTGTTGTTTATGAGGTTTATAATTTTGCCAACACATTTTAGTTAACTTTTGTTTGAAGCCCATTAGTTGATATTGCTTTCTTTTTTTATTTTTAAAATTTTTAAAATGTTTTACTTTTTTTTTTAACTACATCCTTAAACATGTTTTTCCTTATTTATTGGACCTTTTTTTGTCATTTTTTTTTCTTCATCCCCATTTAAAATACAATAAACAACCGGTCTATAAGGAGCGGACAATATGCAATCTCTAATTAAAAATATAATCACATAACAAGATAAATTTCAAAGTAAGAAAAGATTGAGAGTGTAAAGAACATTTATTTCAATACTTATGATGAAAATTACTAACTTTTTAATATATATGATTCACTATTTATAATATCAAAATAAGATGAAATATGAGTTATAATATGAATGCGTATATTATTACATCCATAAAACATATTAAATTGATTGTTACTGATTTTAAATAATGACAAGATTTAAAGGAAAAATAAACTAATATTATATTAACAAACTAATATTTTATAAAACTTATATTTTTTCGGTATTTTTTTAATTTAATTATTTTTCGGAGTTGAGACCCGGAAAAGACATAGCCTTATTTTCGGCTCTTTTTTGATGTAAAGGTAAAATTGATAGAAATCTAATAAAAAGAGAAGACCAAAATTCGTACTTCACTTTAACCCTCACTTTCTCTCTCTAGAACTCGATCCAGTGTTCAGCTTGACGGCATCGACAAGGTACGCTATCTCTGTTTCTAGGGTTACCGTTTTCTTCTTCACGATGGCTTCTTTCTCAATTGCCGTTCGTGCTCGATGCATATGAATAATTCTCATACTTAGTTAGGGTTTTAATTCTTTTCTTCTGAATCTATACCAGGTAAAAATTTAAGTACATACGTAGTTTATTGTTACTGATCTACTCGGATTACGCTCTCAAATATGAAAGAACATGAGGATGATGTGTTGCCTACCGTCAAGGAATCTACTACGACTGTCGATTCTACTACAGCTGATGAAACTGTAACCATGAGAGGGAAAATTGAGGGGCTTTTCGGTGAGAGAGACGAGGGAGAGGATATGGTCGTGGATGTTGTGGGAGCCGATGTGGTTGTTGATGATCGTGGGGGTACAAGGGCTGATTTGGAAGGTAAGGTGGGTATTAATGGCTTGATGGAAGAGGGTTCTAAGAGAGAAATTCAGTCTAGTGATATGGATGTGGACCAAGTTGATGTAGTTGAAGAAGTTAGAGTTGTGACTTTAGAGAAAGTTGAGGTAGTGGTGAATGATGAGGGTGTGAAGACAAGTGTAGAGGTCAGTAAAGAGGTTATTCAGGAGAATGTGGTGACTACTGCTGTGAGTGCGTTGGATTGTGATGCTCAGAAGTCAAGTGAAGAGCCTGAAACTGGTGGAGGTGAAACCACATTGAGGGATAATAATAGAGATTCTACCAAAGAGATTGTGGATAAGGCAACTGGAAAAGAATCTGATGTTTCAAATTCCTTAAATTTTCCAGAGTCATTCACTACAACAGGGCATCCTGGTTCTAGAGATGCTCATGTGGCAGCTGTAAAGGAGGGGTTATTTGGTAAAGATGAAGGTGAAGATGGTGTTGATAGTCAAGTTTCATCAACAGAGGCTGTCAATGCAGGAACCAGTGCAGCTAATTCCCATGTAAGCCCTAAAATCTTGGAGCAGCAATCTGGAGATGATGAAACAAGGAAAGATATTTTGCAGCCAACAATTGAAGTTGCAACAAATGATGTTCAAGATTCTGGAAATGGAACTCAGGCAGGAGATTCTAATGCAGCTCTTCAGTCACTGGGAAGAGAGGCTCAACTTGCTGGGGGAGAGGGTGAAGTAGAAAGAGGTTTAGCAGTGGAGACAGTGGAACAGGGTATGGAATCTGCTCAAGAAGTGGCTGATAAGTTTTTAGATTCAACAAAGATTCAGGATTCAGCAACTAAAGTTGATGGGTTGGTTGTAGAGGAGGGTTTAGCTGGAAAAGGTGAAGCTCAAGATGGTGTCTCTAAGGATCCAAGCTTAGAATCCACTGATATTCCTAATGTACAGGAGGGTTTAACAGAGAAACAGGCTACAGAGTCTGTTCAAGAAGTTGCTGATGTAGATTCCACAAAGATTCCGGAGTCGGTTTCCAATGTTGATAAGATGATTGTAGAAGATGTTTTAGATGGAAAAGATAAAGCTCAAGATGTTATTTTGAGTGGTGGAGTCGATGCAAATACAGGTGAAGGCAGTGTCCATGAAAATGCTGGAATTCTTGACCAGAAATCTGAAGTTCAAATGAGCAAAGTAGAGACTTCACATTCAACAACAGAAGTTAGAATAGATAATGATCAAAAGTCTGGAATTGATACAACAGATAAACAAGAAGAACCGGAAAGAGGTGTGGAACAACCAATGAGTTCCATTCAAGAAGTGGCTGATAAAGATCATGTGATGGATGAAAAGACTGAAAAAGAGGTTGAAGTTTTAGAGTTATCAAAGGTTCAAGAGTCCTCCACCATGGTAGTAGACATGGTGGTTGACCAGAAAACTGAAGTTGACCCAACACCTAAAGATGAGAGTTTGCACACAACGATAGAAGTTATGACAGCTGAGGCATCTCATAAAAGTTTAAATGTAGCCAATGAAGTGACAACTGCTCAAAATTTACCAAATCCCGAAGTGCAAGTTTCCAGTGTAGGTGGGATTTTGGTTGAAAACCAGATCTTGAATGTTGATACTGAAATGAAAGTATCTTCCCAAACTTCTGTGGAAACTTTTGAGGAAGTCAACCATGCAACAAGTCATGCAGATTATGGAGAGGATGCAGGGATGGACATTGATGAAGTACTTGGATGGAAAGATGAAATCCCAGGAATTGATTCCTTACATGGTCAAGAAAAAGATCAAGATTTCAAGATTCATACAGACCCAGAAGCTAATTTTGAACATGGACTTTCAAAACCTTTAGTCTATGAACGCCGTGTGCAGGTAAATGATGATGTTGAAGAACATACAGATTTCTGCAGACAACAAGAAACAGAAACACCAGAAGTAGAACAGTCAACATTGACCGATGATGTCAGCAATGAAACTTCTGTTTCTTTCCATCAATCATGTTATTTCCACCCACCAGAAAACGAAGGTGAGTTCTCTGCTTCTGATTTAGTCTGGGGTAAAGTCAGAAGTCATCCATGGTGGCCTGGTCAAATCTTTGACCCATCTGATGCATCCGATAAAGCCATGAAATATCATAAAAAAGATCGATTTTTAGTCGGGTATTTTGGAGATCGAACATTCGCGTGGAACGATTCAACAGTCTTGAAACCATTTCGTGCAAAATTTTCCCAAATTGAAAAACAGACAAATTCAGAAGCTTTCAACAATGCCCTCCACTGTGCTTTGGAAGAAGTCTCCAGAAGGGTAGAATTGGGACTTGCATGTTCATGCACACCTCAAGACATCTACAAGAAAATCGAATGTCAGATTGTCGAGAACGCGGGAATCAAGAAAGAATCAAGTAAAAGACACGGTATGGACAAAACTGCCCTTGTGACCTCATTTGAGCCTGATAAACTTATCGACTACGTGAGACTACTCGCAAAGTCTCCATATGATGAAAATGACAAAATGGACCTTGTAATGGCTAAAGCTCAGTTGTTATCATGTGCACGTTACAAAGGGTATCGCCAGCTGTCCGAGTTTCAGTTCTGTGGAACTTTATTAGAAGATTCTTCTGGATTGACCCAAGGGGTTGACCAAGTCATCAAGAAAGAGAGAATCTTCTCAGATTTAAAAGTAGATCCAACATACTACCCCGGAAACAGCGAAGAAGGTTCTAGAAAACGAAAGGCTTCCGATTCCAACTCCAATTCCAATTCCAATTCCGATGTTTCGGTTCCAGAGAAACGACCAACTCTGGAAACAGTAACTCCAAGCCCTAAACCCTCTTTCAAAGTTGGCGAACTCATTCAAAGAGTAGCAAACCAACTGAGTGACAAAAGCATCGAACCTGTTGACCAAACAGTTGGACTTTCTCATTCTGTTCAAACTCCAGTCAACATGGTCAACCCCCAAGCAAATCTACCCGAAATGTTATCACAACTCCAGTTAACTGCTCAAGATCCAATGAAAGGGTACACCTTCTTGAACACTATAATCCCTTTTTTTTACAGCCACAGAGCTGCTGTTTTTTCCAAGTCTTTAAAGCAAAATTCATCTACTACTGGAAGGGTTAATAACGAGACTAGAAAGAGAAAGCCATCGAACGAAAACGATCCGGAAGATTTCGAGTTTGATGATGTTAATGATTCGTATTGGACGGACAGGATCATCCAGAACCATCCGGAAGATTTGCAGCTGCAACCTGCGGTGGTGGTGCATGATAACAACCAAAACGGAGGTGTGGAGCATCCACACCAGATTGTAGCCTACGAAGAGAAACAAAAACCTGTGAAACAAAGCCGTAGGTCGAATAAAAAACGGTTTTTTAGCAGCAATCATGAGATTGAAGCAAAGGAGCAATCAGAGCTTATTGAGAGAAGAAGGTTAAATTTGGCAACTGAGGTTTTAATGAAGTTTACAGAGGGGATTTACTTTCCTTCCGAGATACACTTGAATAAAATGTTTAGAAGATTCGGGCCTTTAATGGAATCAGAAACTGAAGTTGATAGACAAAGTGGGCGTGCTAGAGTTGTTTTTAAAAAATGTTCTGATGCTGAAGTTGCTCATAGTAGTGCTGGAAAATTCAACATCTTTGGTTCCATTGTTGTAAATTATGAGCTTAATTATACTCCATTGATTTCTTACAAGCCTTTGCCTCTTCCATTGGCACATGAACCAGCCGCTGATGCATGCTAGTAATGGTAAATTACCCTTTCGCCCTTTGTAAATAAAAAAACATTTTGTTTTGTTTATAAATATTAATACGAATCTGTTTGTGTGTTTCAGGTGAGATCATGGGAAGTTGGATTCATACAAAGCAAGCAATGAAAACATGATATACAATTAGAGACTTGAGTGAGAATCAGGTTCATCAAAGTAAGTTAACATTTTTTGAATTTGGTTTTGATTCTTGATTGCTGTTTTGTGAAACGTATTTGATTAATTTGGATTTTGTTAAAAATGATGCAGGTGGATGGGTGTAACGGATAGTGGTGATGATGTGCAAGATATGGATGTAAGTTATTTAGAGAAGTAAAGTAGGAATGTTAAATGTATGATTTTCTTGTTGCCTTGAATAAGATAGGTATTAGGTGAAGAAACTAAACTTTATTCTAAGATTAGTTTTTAGTTTTTAGCATGAGTTGTTATTTATAAGTCTGCTAAAAATCCCATTTAATTACTGTTGTGTTGTGATGGATTGTATCTTGTGGAAAACATGTGTTTTTCTTGGGTGGGTTGTTTCTTTTTGACTTGATCCGTAAAGAAGGGCTTAATGGGTTAAGCCATGAAATACACAAGCATTTCTTTGTTGGTGTTGGTTGAATCCACGAAAAGATTCATTTAAAAATTGATTATTGATCTACTTAACTTTGTCAAGTTGAGGAGATGGAATTGGTCCTAGAGTAGTGGATTGATTGTTTATGCTTTCGATTGGATTTACAGTTAATGGAAAACATGAAAACACCAAATGTGCATAAGTCAATAAGGAAAAGGGTGAACACCCAACCATTGTTGTGTGGATTGATCCTAATACACAACCCCAACGCTTCATGACCAAAGACAAGATTACATAAAATACTCAAAATAGGATGAATGCGCAAATGCTTTGGATGAAAAAGGTCTAAGGCAGACATAGTGATTGATAACAATAGACTTTGAAGGACTTGGATAAAAATTTGAGAAATATATTAAAATAGGTTACAAATCCCTTGAAATGTACTAAATTTTAGCTTTGGATGAAAATCAACAAAGGTCTAAAAAAGAAAAAAGCTCTTAAAAAAGTAATGGAAAATGAGGAATAAAAAATATACTAGGGCTAAACGCAAAGTGAGACGTAAATGTTAGGTTAAATGCAAAATGGAAAAAATTTTCAACTCAATCAAATTGATACGTCATCATATTTTATTGGTGACTAGTTAAACGTTAAAAAATAAAATAAAATTTAAAATAAAAAGCATATACAGAACAAAAAAAAAGGTTGGAGCTAAAATAGAAAAGACTAAATATAGATTTTGTCAAAAAAAAAAAAAAAAAAAAACCAAAATTAAAATTTGTAACAAAAAGAAGAGTTTAAGAAACAAAAATGTAAAGGATAAAATCTAATTATGCTTTTAGGTGTGAAGGACAGGGGAATGAATTTTGTCTCAACCAAGGGAATCTAGATGTAACCAACACAAATATCACCTAATCTTCTTCCCAAAGTTAACTTACATAAGTAACTTATCTCATAAATATTATAACGTGTTTCTCATAAATTTTCATATTGAAGGTAGTTGTCATGAAAGTTGTTTATAATCATAATTTGCCACTCAAATCAATTGGGAAAAAGAAACCTACATGAATGTACACAACTTGGTTTTGGAGAATATAACATTAAAAGTTGCAGTGTAGAGTATAAGGCCTTGCAGACAATATGAAAGGTAAGTTTGTTTGTTGACATATTTGAGTAGGACATGTTTTAGATGTAGTGCGATTTTGACCTCACATTGCAAAGAGATAAGCACTAACGGGTTCATCTGGGAGCTTTTTAAGCCGAATGTATGGTGCTAAGTTCAACCCTTTGGAAAAGGAAATTAGTCGGTAAACTCGAACGTGTAAGTTTTAGGGCGAAAGAAACCGTAAGCTTTTTAAAAATATAAAATTATATGAAAATAAAAAACAAACGCTCATAAAAGCTAAAAGTTATTAAAATCTATTTAACATATATTCTATATTACAAGATTTTTATTCAAAATAAAAGTTTTAAACTCGTATTTCTGAATAATTTTTTCTTTACTTTGTGTTTTTAGTTGAAAACTAAAATCTAAAAACTCTTAAAAACTAGCTTCTCAAGACACCATCGGTTTTAATTCGGTGGATCGTAGTTTGCGGGGATAGAGAGTTTAGGTGAATATGTACATATGTCATATAATCTTTGATGTGGACCCTCACAAAATTTTTTAGTTGACTTTGTTTTTACAACACAATGGGTAAAAGTAAAATCTTCTAATTATTAAGATATTTGTTCAACCCTTAAGGGAATGGAAGTTTCTTTGTTTAGAAAGTGTGATTAAGCATCACTAGTTGGACAAACCTCCAATAATAATTACGGTTTTTAAGTAGTAATTACAATGGGGTCACTTAAGTTGAAAAGTTGAAAACAGAAGGATGAAAAAAGAACATGCATGGAACAAATTCAAAATGATGGCACAAATTTGGTGTCAATTCAGGATCAATTTGACATGTTATGTGTCTACTTCTTCTTCTTCTTCTTCTTGTTGCGGCGAGTATATCCCTATCAAATCATTCAAATCAATAATATTTGCTCGATTTTCTGTTTAGTATAATCACGTTTGACTTTTAATTTGTTTTGATTTTTAGTCAATTAATTACTTTTAATTTGTTTTGATTTTCAGTCAATTAGTTTTCTGTTTAGTATTGTCCTGTTTGACTTTTAGTTTGTCTTGAACGGACATTTCTTGTTTACAATAATTTCACGTGACATGCAACAAATATGTTGAAGATTCTACGGTGTTTTTAACATGATTTGTATTAATCTTTAGGCTTCATCATTATGCTTTTGAAAATTATGATGATTTATATTGATTGTGAATTTGCAACATAACTTTTAATTAAGAGTATTTGAGTTATCATTAAAGACATTATGCTTTTGAAAACTATGATGGTTTATATTGATTGCAAGTTTGCAACATAGTTTTTAATCAAGTTAATTTGAGTTATCATTAAAAATAATATGTAGATTTTTGTTTTCAAGATTCATTGTAAGGTTATCCAATAGTTGTGGTAAAGTTATGCAATGTAAGATCGACATGCATATATATAATACGGCCAAAATTTACTTGATATTTATTCTTTATACGATGAAAAGACAAAACATCGATTATAGGTTTATGTTTACTTTTTAATTTTTATGTTTAGTGGAATATGAGACCCATTAAAAGATTTGCTACCAAAAATGCTTTTATATTAAAATTGGTACATTTGAGGTGATGTTCGTACTCTCTAGTCTCATTATGGATGGAATAAACGACAGACGTAGTTAGTTGGTTATGGTGGTGGACCTACGTGTTCATGATGTCCATGTGGAAAAACCTTTTGTCTTGGATTGTAATTGTCGGCACCCCTTTAATTTTTACTTTCATTGCTGAATATTTTTACCCTTGATACACTAACAAAAATATAAACTTTGAGATAATAATAATAATAATAATAATAATAATAATAATAATAATAATAATAATAATAATAATAATAATAATAATAATAATAATAATAATAATAATAATAATAATAATATATTAAGAAGTAACGCCTAAAAATCACTAGATGACACAACACACAAGATTCAAAATTTTCATAATATAACCCATGAAGAATTGAAATTGGAGTTTCTAATTGTTTGATAAGAAGTAAACTTTAAAATTGACCTTCTATGGTTTAAAAAAAAAAGAAATGACACAAATGTTCTATGACCATTTTATGATTGATTCTTTTAGTCTCCAAACTATATTCGTGGCTTTATGAGAGAATGAACTCGTGAGCAACTTGTCTATTCAGTATCCTAGACTTGTTTTAATTGGTTTCCTTGCTACATCCACAATATTTGCCACATCAACTATGATATGGCAAACACCTTCCTATTACACATTTATGGAACAACGTCATAATGTGTATAAATCGTAGGGCCCAAGTCAACACTGTTCATACCTGCGTCCATATAAATAAACAACATGGTTCCTTAAAATGGGAAAAGTGCAAAGTTTCTTACCCTTTATGCATACTTAAGTTCATACCTTAATCGCTAATCGCTAAGAACATGTTGTCACTTATATTTCCCCTTGACAACTGGTCCTTTACCGACCGACATCAATTGGAAGAGAATGAGTCCAATGGAGTCTAGGAAGAATACATGGCCATCAACCTACTACAAACATAGTTAAAGGTGTCATTAATCCGAGAGAAGGTTGCTACTGACTTGTGCGAGCTACACGAGAGGGTGAGAAGACAAAAGGATGCTCTTTACGATGTGGTGGATGATGTCCGGTCAGGGAAAATAGACGTGTCCAATATGGTTTCTAATCTCAAAAGTCACTTCTACTAGCTTCAAACTCGTATGCCAAGATGATGGTAAAAAACAACAACTTCAAGAAAATGAAATGTGTTTTGGGACATGTTTCTATCGTTGGGGTTATGTTTTTAAGCTATAAGTTCTTCCAATAATGGAAGAACTTTAGGTTATATGATTTCTTTCTTGGGATTGTCTTTTAGGTTTTTTGAAGCTTGGTTATTTTGGTGGTTTTAACTATTGTGGTGGATGACGTTACTGATAAGTTTTAGTAACGTTTTATTTTGTATTTAGTATAAGCTGATGGAAATGTATGAAACAAACATGATGTAACACCCAGTTCCAGGTAAGCATCACTTCTGAGTTATCAACTAAGTCTCAATGGATGAAAACTTTGGTAACAATGTGAGCATCTATGTGTCACAACATGATGGTGCCCGGGAAGGAACACGCATTTCATTGGTCTTCACGACGTATGTAATATTCAGATTCTTGGAGGTATTTAAATTTAATGTATTTTGGATTTTGGACGGGATCACGCCATGGTGGAGGCATCCCATGACATTGTGATGGTTGATGTATTGCATATTTTAAATGAACTCCATAACGTGACAGCCTATGGCCACGATCTGACGATTGTTTAATGAGAAACCCTAATATACGGGGTTCGCTTCGTTATTTAAGGAAATATGATGGCTAGGGTTGCTCATCCTCAACCTCCATTACACTCTCAAAGCCTCCAAGAAAAACCTAACCTCCATTCTTAGTCTCTAAGTTTATTTATTTATTTATTTATTTTTTTGTGTTGATTTTGGGGATTAGAAGAAGAAGAAGAATAAGAATAAGAAAAAGAAGAAGAAGCTGTTATTTGGACTTGGATTCAATAATAAACTCTTCTCATCATCTTGTTGTGAATCATCTAGACTCTTGTAAGTCCCCAAGTTCCAAGCTTTTTGGTTTTCGTTCATAGATCTAGGTTTCTATGCCTTATTCTTCATGTTAGGACACACTGGAGTGTTGGGGTTCCATAAAGTTTCCAACTTTATGGATCCCTAGAGTCCTTTTGTGGCTAGGAGTGTTGGATCTGGTGTTTTATAGAGTTTTGAACTCTTGCATGAGATCTTGGCCCCTTTTTACTCTATCTAACCTAGCTTGAGTTGAAGACATGCATTAGACATGCATGTCTATAAAGAAACGATCTTTTATGGTCCATTGGATTAGAGAATGCCTTCTGGGAAGATTGAATG